TTGATCCCTCGGTCGCCAAAAATGGCAGCAAGCAAGTTAACAACACAAACTTTGTTTATTGGATAGTTAAACTGACGTATGTGTTGTATGGCAACATGAACAAATATAAATTGGCTTTTAAAATCGGTTTTGTTTATTTGTAGAAATCTAGTCATTAGATTTTCTTTATAATTTGCACGCAACAAGCTTGTAATGATACTCACAAGTCAACACCATTTTGCTAATAATTTAACAGATAGATCTTTAATTATACCTTGCTGAGGGTTCACTGAAATATCTAGAATATCCTTTGTTAAAGTTCAATTTTTTTTCAATACTCCAGCTACTTATTTCCTAAACTATTTCCATGCCAAATTTTGTGAAATTCTATTGAGTGGATTTCAAGAAATAGACATATTTCCAAGAAAGAAATTTTCCATTCAATCACAATTTTTTGACCTACCACACATGTGCTACATTTAACTGGGTTCTTTCAGTAACAATCAAAAAGCAGAGAATTACTGTGTTCTTTGCACTGTTAACTTTTCTAACATATCTTTGTAATAAAAGATTAAAGCCCTCAATACACTGCGCCAACTATAGAGAAAAATAGCACAGATGGAGCAGGCACAGGTACTTGCTGAGTAAATAAAATGACTGCTTTACTGACAGAATGTTTGTATGTTTTTTACAATCCTTGTGTACACACTGAATTGCATCAGCAAAAGCGTGTGCGAAAACTGTGTTCAGCCACCTTAAGGGCTGGGCACTGGGAAAATTGACTGGCTGTGAGGATGGATTTGCCCACCTGGTTTGGCCATCTAGAGAAAAGTTTAGCCTAGAGAGAAGTTCAGTTAAAAAAGTTTTGCCTGCCTGTGAAAACCAGTCATCCTCCAGCTGGAAACAGTAATGAAACCCCTACACTTTATTATTCACATTCACGTATACTTTCTAAAACTAGGAAAAAGGAGGTCTTAAAATGTATTCTTTTCTTAATATGATGATTCATGGTATAAGCCAGGCATAAAGCCAAATGTTATGAACAAATAGGAAAGTGTAGCAAAGACTGTATGATGTTATTATTCATATTCATTTCTACTTTTTAAAACTAGGAAAAAGAAGGTCCTACAATATACTGTTTTCTTGATATGACATTTCGTGTTGTATGCCAGGCATAAAGCATTGCCAGTAACTGCTCAGTGTAAAACATATAATAATTATAAGGCATTTTTCAAAACTGTAGCATAATTAAAAGGTATCATCTATTATGCTCTTACATTTTTTAATTATGATCAACGCCTGCAAGCACATTTAATAATTATATTCATTTAGCAGATCAAACAGCCTATGCATGAGTGTGAGATTAATATCATAAGTTATTTTTTAAATCTTCTTAAAGTTGAATAGATCTTAACAGTAATGTATACACCAAATATTGATATCTTTGCCTGAGGCTATAGAAAGAAAAAGTAACCTCGTGTAAGAATTCTAATTAACAAATAATTAAGAACTGCATCAATCAGGGGCTAATCACGATCGTATCATTATATAAATCTATAGTTCTCTGTATGCTATTGTTTCAGTAGGAAAAATGTGAGTGCAATTCTATAGTAAGATGTTTTACAAAAATGATTGTAATGTATTTTATTTGCATTTTTATCCTTACTAAGTTATAGTAAGGTTAGTAATAGCTTTAATTGACTGACTCTGAAAAAGATTACATATGAATTCAAATTATGTACATAAGGAGAAGGGGGGTAAGTTTCTAAAGAAACTGGTGCTGTGTCGGTGGGGGAGTATAACAATGTAATCTTCGTTTTATTAACTGAGTTGCTAATGTAAATTGGCCCCCGTAAATAGTTTCAAAGCTGACGCTTAGAGCGTTAGCCCTTCGTTTGAGTGAATAGCGAAGAGCTGACGCCGGAACATCAGCTTGGAAACTCTTTACAGTGGTTAATTTACATTATCAACTCAGGTGATAAAACCATAATTACCTTATATCAGGATAAGCTTTGATTGGATGTATAGTACCCTGTGATTCTTTCTCACTAAGGGTTCATAAATTCAAAAGTACAAAGAGTTTTCATTCAATCTACAATCGCTAATAGTCGTCTCAGATTAAAATATTTCACTGGAAGACGTTGTATCTCATGGTTTAACGTAAACAGGGTTACTCACACACCCCTTCGCTCACTCACTTACTCCCCTCTCCACTCACTCACTTTCTTTCCCACTCCTTTACTCACAGACTCACTCCCTCGCCCACTTAGTCACTCGACAGTCGAAGGCACGTTGCGTTCCATTTCCATGGCGTCTGTTTTGCCATCAATTGTAAAGCCACTATTGTTGAAAGGAGTTACCATGTTTCTTCCTTTGCAGCAAATTAATTCGCCCAGATGCTTTCTAAACTTACTGCTCTGCAGACTGTAAACGGTTGGGTTAATACTGGAGTTGAAAACAATCAAAGCAGACGCAATAGCATGGTGAAATGGCTGTAATGTGATTGTACCAGTGAAACCCAAAAAGTAAATTAACAGCTCGGGGACCCAACACAACACATACACAACTGTCACGAATATGACCATCTTGGTGACGCGTTTTCTGTATCGCAGTAGGGCACGCTGGGTACTTTCCGTTGCGGCGGCGTTCACAAACCAAAGACGGTAAACCACCTTGGAATATAAAGCAGTCATGATGCTGATAGGAATAACACCTGCCACCACAGACCACCCAACAGTGTAGAGCTTAGCATAGACTGGTTTGGAAAAGCTGTGTGCGCACCCTTTAAACTCTTTTATGTATGTGGTAGCCAAAAATCCTGGTATAGCCCATGTGAGAGACGCCATCCAGGAAAGAAGGGCGAGTAGGACTATTTTTGTCTTTGTGAGTTTAATTTTCTGACTGTGGGGATGCAGAACAGCCCAGTAACGTTCAATTGATATGGCCACCAGCGAAAACACTGAGGCGACTGCACCAACCCAGCCTGGTGTACCACCTGTTACTATCTTACAGAGCACGGATCCTAATGTTCCTTGGGGGTGGGTAAAAGTTGGTGTTACTATGAATTGGATACCAATAAAAATGGCGACCACAATGTCGGCGCTTGCAAGGTTTACGAGGAGGTAGTTGGTGGGTGTCTTCATGGACCTGTTACGTAGTACTACCAAGATCACTAAAGTGTTGCCAACTAGGTTGAATATCACCAACACTGAAAACAGCACTGAAAACCCAATGTACAGCGACGACAACATGTTCCTGACTTTCTTGATTTTGCTACCTACGAAAAATAGACGTAAACAGGTTAAATAACCAAATCTTTGTAACTGAAAGGAAGGAGCGTCATGATGGCTGTAAGTCAATGAAATCGAAACAGGAATCACGTAAAGGAGAAACAGTATATAGGTCATCTGATCTTGAAGGTCATGGCGTTTTGTTCCAAGGCGTGCGGAACGAATTTTTAGAGGTGTCGTTGTGAGTATTCACCCAACTGAATTTGATTCCTAAAGGTTTTTCTCAAAAGAGGGTATGATTGTAAAACGCCACGATAGTTTTTGCATCTGATTCCTATTTAACTTGAACACAGCTTTGCACCAATAGGATCGCGTTGACTACCTCAATTATTTTATGATAGCTCATTGGCGACATTTCGTAAGTTGCAATTCCCTTTTCTCAAGTTGTGTCTTGTACAAATTTTGGGTTCAGAGGCGGATAAATGTTGCCGTCTAAATGTGCGATCGTTGTTGTTGCATCCATCGTCAAACTAATCCAACTGAGAGTATAGTTATAAAAATTTGTGATGACGAAATTTCGCGGATTAAAATAAGTAGTGCCTGTCAAATAAATCCTACCTTTAGTCATTCAATACATTTGTATTCATCCTTGTGTCTACAGGATAGCTTTACCTTACGTGTCACTTTGTGATATTTTATGCATCATTCATTTCTTACTCTTTGATGCTTTGGGAAATTCTTTGGGTAAATCAGAAAGAGAAAGGGTGAATGGTATGGTCTTTTTTCAAGGAAAGACGCAAGGAGCTGGAAACAGGAACTCAAAGAGACGATACCGCAGTAGTTTTCAATATACATTAGCTAAGCTTTAACTTGAAGAAAGAAGAAGACTTATGGCATGGTATTGCAGGCAGAGACGGAAATCAAACCAGAGGACGGACTTTAATCACGGTTAGTTTCTCTTATCACGGCTACACAAGGCTACAATGAGTATTTCAAGAACTCGGCATTTATACATTTATACATTTATAATAACATTTATTACAGAGTGAACGGGCGAAAAATTATCCAATACACGAAAAGTATTGTTTGATTTGACCTTTTTTCAGAAAAACACATTGAAAGAGCCAATGAAGGAAACCTTAAGATAGGAGGTATATACTCACCGCTGAATCACACGCCCTGAGCAGTTGGGTTCAGAGAAGCAACAAGCAAAAATGGACATTTGCGAGGAAAACGGCCAACTTTTATGAGCTAAGAACATCACGGAAAATCAATTTTTTTTAAAAAAAAAACATTTGCCCACAAGAAACAAAACATAAAATAGGCCGCAATCACGGCTCTGGTTGTACAACATTGCGAAAAATGCCACAAATATAACAACAATGTCTTCTAGTAATAATCAGGTTAAGGTTCTCTATGGAACTATTAAAACGATTTCTGTAATAAAGATGACACAAAAACACAATCTGCCGCTGTTGTTGAGGTTTTAGTTTACTTCATTAGAAGGATTTCGGCGGAACAAAGAAAATATTAGTGGAGTTATTGGATGAAAAAACAGGGTTACCGACAAATCATAATTGTCACGGATTAAAATTAAAACACCATTATTGCAAGTGATTGTGCTGGCTGAGTCCAAGTTTATTTTCTCCCACATTACTTTCGACTGAACGAAACATCCATAGTTACATGAACATCCAATTTGTTATTTCAGGTTGGCTACAACAATGACTCTGACAATTACAGCTGTTTGGCTTCTCGCCATTCTTTAGGTGTGACTTTGGTCAAAATTGCCACCACTGAAGTGAAATGTTTTGTAAATGGTAATATTATTATTTATCCAGAATTATGTTGCAGTTCAATGAAATCACCCGGCAGGGTTTTTAGGTAGCTTGTCACTAAGTTTTAATCCATTTTCTAATTTTAATTACTTTCTTTTTGTTTTTCCAGTCTGAGTGACATAGTTTATGATATGCCTGTAAGGTTAGTTCTAGAGTGCGTTATAACAAAATTAGCAACCTATCCGGCATCGATGCGAATAGAGACATCTCATTCTTCAATGAATTTACTTAGGGGAAGTTTCTCTCGACTTAGCAGGCTAAATAAATCAACTTATTCATTGTCCTTTTCAAATGCAATACCAACAGATGGATGGGTCTTTACTCAAGATAATTGACTGAACCCTTATAAATTGCCACGTTATCCGTTGAACGCCAAGCTGAAAACGGATTTTAATCAACTGTACACATTTTGTCGGCTGACGTTGTCTTTTTAAAGGAAAGCGCACGTCTGCTTGGCAAATAAATAATAGGTCAACAAACGAAAGAGGATTTTACACTAATAGTTATTCAAATATTCTACCACAAACCCGGCGAAAAGATTAATTTGGGCGGCTTATTATTATTATCACGAAAGCGTTTTAAGACATAAGGACTTAATCCGTGCGTGGAAACAATTTGGAGCTTCCGGCCTTCCATTTTAAGTTACTGACATCGCGTTCGTTGCACTGACCTTCTCCATCACCATTGTATTTTGTCCTGACAATGCGAATTAAAGGAGTATCTTGATATTTGGATTAAAACTACCACAGTAAAATGACTGCAATGAATTTGGGTGTCAGATAATTGTGATTTTCCTTTTGCTGCCCGAAAAGCAAGTCGTACTTGTACTTTCTGATAGTTGTTTTAACTTAGAAACGTACAGCAGGTAAGTTAGGCTGTCCATATGTACTCAAGAGCAATTTTAACGAAATTGCAGATACTTACACAAAGCTTGGCCCGTTGAGCATTCCTTGTGCACCTCGAGAAGCTGCTACAGTACACTCGCGCCAAACGTCCGTGGAACACTCGAGTGGACTGTGTATATGCCGCTTTATTTATACTTAAGAAAAAGATGGAAACGTCGAACCCAGACCATTCAGTAGACATTATCGTTATTATATCCTTGATTTGCCAAGATCCAACCGACGCACCTGCTTGTGACCTTGTCAGGTGTATCAATAATTTGTTTGGTAAACAATTAAGTCGCAATATCTTTTTGTATTGTAACTGGCTGACGTAAGGGCTCACCAACTAATAGAATTATCTGACGAGCTCAACGATTTACCCAGGAAGGAAGCTGTCTTTCAGTGCTTTTACTTCAAAACATGTCACTCCTAATTAATGAAGCGTTAGTTATAGATATTGGTATTACCCGTTGTTTTAAACATAAATTTAAAATAGAAGTGCTGACCACTCATACTCTAACTGAAGGAAAATTTGAATTTTAAACTGACATTTCCAAAAAGTATTTTTTTTAAATATCTAAAACTGTTTCAGCATTGTCCGAGACATGAAGAACAGACAAAATAGTTTCGGGTAAACAGGCCGTGCAAATATATATGTATGTAATATGACATGATCCCGAACAATTAACTGCCAATATCGGGCTGATAGGAGCCTACATCTCGACGTATGGTAAGAAATTTCTTGCATGACTTCAGATTAAAATTCTACTGACGGATGAGGTGAAAAACTGATTAACAATTAATTAAAAAAAAATTCCTCACTTCTCGATGACATAGGTGCAAACATCTCATCCAAAGCTGGCTAATCCTGATTCTTTAAGATTGAGCATGATATCGGCAAGGTGATATTACTGCTGTTTACAAGGCGCGTCTTGAGCTCAGCATTAAAATGCAGTTTGAGTTACCTGTGTTCACCTACTCATACAAATTAAAGTGATTTAATCTCCTGTCCTCCAGGAACCTCTGTTTGCAGGAGTAGCATGCCCTGTCTGGTGCCCCATTATGTCCCTGTAGTACTGTAGTCAACTTTTAGAACGAAGAAGGTAGATAAGATTAGTCAAGAGCACAGTCTTTGGATCTATTGACTGGATGTACCGCTCTATTAAAACGTCTTCTACAGCGAATCAAAGACAAGAGATGTGTTCTGAACTGATTGCTTTGAAAACTATAAACAACAGGGTTAACACAAGAGTTAAACACAACAAGAGCGAAGGCAACTCCACGATGAATGGCCTCCAACGTAAATACACCAAGAAATCCAAGGAAGTAAATGATAAGTTCACTGGTCCCCAGCAGAGCACATAAATGATTGTCACGGCTATCACCATCTTTGTCACTCGATTTCTATACCGCAACTTTTGGGTGCCTTCCGTGGCCTTTTCTTTAGTGAACCACAGACGGTATATTATTTTGTAATATAATGACCCCATTATTCCCATAGGTAATATCCCAGTTACAAGCGATCATCCTACTGTATAAATCTTAGCGTAAATCTTTTTTGGCCATTGATGTCCACACTGTTTGGATTGCTTTATATAAGTAGTTATGAAGAAACCAAGACTAGCCCAAATGAGAGCTAGCGTCCAACTGACAAGAATGAACAATCTGATCGGCTCGCATACGACACTGAAGAGTCGTAGGATTCAAGACATGTTGCTAACGGTCAATAACTACTTTCTATATAAGACTCCCAGACCTATTGCTGACTTAGTTAAACCAAGGAGGACTGATTATAATTTAAGAGGCACTAACTTGCTTTCCTTACCTAAGGTTAACAGTGCCAAGCATGGTCTTAAGTCATTTCGTTATGAGATAGATAGATAGATAGTTAGATAGATAGTTTATTTAAATATACCTAGCAGCCTTGCGGCTGAATTGCGTATATTACAATAATGTAATTAAATAAATATATTATATAACGTATACAAGAATATTCAAAATTATAACAATTAAAAAATCTATGAGCTAAAACCTATCTATATTTAAAAGCTATATTTACATTATCTACATAGGTTTCTAGGAAACGGTCGTTAAATTAACTGTTGTTGTTATATTTAATGGTGGAGGCCATCATGAAGGTGTTTTTAAAACGGTTTGTCCTCCACCGGGGGATTTCGAAACGCCTGTTACGTCTTAAATTGTGCTTTGGATGGTTGGCACAAGGCAACAATTCACGAAGCCCGTGATTATCTTTTCCGATAATGTTGCTAAAGAGATTGCGGCAAATGTCTTCCATATAAGCCATGATCGGTGGAATGCCGGCAGCCTCTAAAATCTCGTGATAGTCTTGGCCTGAGCTTATAATAGAGAAAGCTCTTTTTTGAACGCGCTCTAACTCCTGCTGCAAATATA